TCCCCACAAAATTATATGAAAAACGCCAGATTTAGGAAACTACTATTTGCTCCCACATTTTAAGATATTTTTACTTGGCTTGATTTATGTCACATACTAAATCAGAATGAACCAAACCATATACTATGTATAAACGAGCTAGGCTTAAACATTTTAGATCAAATGAGACCAAACATACACATAGAGCAGACATCGACCACACCATATCAGACCAGTTCAAACCAGATCAGATTTAAACAAATCAGACCAAACCAAATCAAACCACACTATAAAATCTTAATCTAATTTAAAAACATTTTCTTGACAACTAGAGCGACACTCATGCCTGTTTCTATTCTTTTGTGGACAACCAAAGCAACACGCATTTACATCTTTTCACTAAATTTCTTTGATTTCATACTCCTTTCATTCTTCTGTTTTTAGTGAGTTTTTTTATTAAAATAAATTTATACCCTCAATTTTAATATCCTTACTTTTTTACTTTTTAGTACGGGGTTCAAACCATTATTTGATTTCTACTTTTTCATCACTTTCTTCTTCTTAATATATTTTATTTTCTACATTTTCATTTAACATATACTACGTTTTCTTCTTAGGACACACTAAATATCTAGTAGAACACTTGAATAATTTCATTTTTCGTCTCAATTTGAACGGAAACATATCTAGTAACTCAAGAAAAAAGATCTCAAGATTCTACGTTTTGTCGTTTTCGTTCGGCATCACAGAATTGTGAATCAGAATGGGTTATACCAACAACCCAACATCATCAAATGGGTCAAACTCTACTAGCCCATTTCTTCCGGGCCTGGCAGTGGGTCTTGAAAGTGAAAATTACCGACATGACCTATAATAGTCCTTGGATTTGCATAGAAGCAATTAATGAAGGCTTTCCTTATTCGTACGTATCAGACAAGGACAGCGATGTGGGCTCCAGCCCACTACTCTTGACTGCTCAATAATAGAAAAATGAGAATAGCATAAGGCCCATCATTCTTAATGAAGTATGGCATTTGCCGGGTGCCGGATAAAATATGTCACGTTAACCAACGATGGCTTCTCCCAGAGGATCGGAATCTCCGCTGTATTATTTCATTGCTGGATTATTTTTTGTTAGCTCTTGCTTAATTTCAAACTTAATCTTAACTAATTGAGCTCAATCAATTTGGGAGCTTTACTCAAATATATCCAAAACAATGTCATTTTTCTAAAATATAATCCACACTGTAATACTATCGTAGTCTTTTTTTTATCATCAAATCCAACAACTATATTAAAATCATTAGGGACGGATTGTTACAACAAACTCAAAAGACCAACCTTGACAAAAAATTATCCCTAATCAACAATCACAAACAACCCTACGGCTAGAATCTGAGACTATCACCCCAGAAAGAGCAATACGAATCGCTAACCATCAAACGGTTAGCTTAATAAACATTTAAATATATTCACAAAAAAATCATTAGTATATTCACGATAACATTTAAATATATTACATTTAAATATATTCCGTTAGTATGGTTCTTTTTCCGTTAACCCACTTCCCCTTATATTATAAGAGTCATCATAAAATTTTCATACTTTAATTAGAACCATGCTAACGGATGATGGCTCTTATTAGGGGAGATTACTACACTAAATTGAACATATGATTGACATGTAATTATGTAAAGTATTTAAGCTTGTTCGTCTATTCGTACTATGAGTTGTTATGCAATTAAATAAACAATGAAAAATATTGTTTTATAATTGACAAAGTATTTTCTACGAAGTTAATAAAGTTAACTCTTGATATTCTTCGGTTCTTATGAATTGTTTAATGTCAATTTTTTGTTAACTACATCTAATTGGTATGTAGGTAAATACAAAGAACTAAACATTTACAGATTTACTATGAATATGTGACTAATTGATGATGTTGTTCCATTCTTTTGTGAGTTTTGTCAAACTAACTTCTATTCTACTATTTGTGTAAGAAAGATTCATTTTTTGTGTGAATTTTTTATTTAGAAGTTTTAAGAGCCTTTTAATTGCTTCCCAGGAGTGGCTGCGAAGATCGATTCGGTGAAAACAAAGCTGCGGCAAAAATCAATACCACATACGATAGTACAATTCTACTAGCACTGAAAAGAAATTGAATTAATGATCTGTACGCACTATATGTTACATGGGTTTAGAGGGGAGGCCAAGGAGGGTGTAGAAACTATGGTTCCTATTTGGGAATAATAAATTTGGAAGAACAGAATCATTGAGGAAATTATAATTAAAATCACTTTGAGATGTGACGAATTCAAATAAATGAATAGATATGCATTTTTAATTGAGCTTAAATTATCATTTTGTTAAACGAAAAATTGTCAATTTGATCCTCGTACTATCACGAAAAAGTCAATTAGATTATCATAATTAAAAAAATCGATCAAATCCCCAAAATTTGAAAAAAATTCAATTATGTCCATTAGTAGGTTACATGCCACATTAGCAGGTCACCCACTGACATGACTCACACGTGGATGTCACTGTTGACGTGGACTGCCACATGTACGTCACGTTAACAGGTGACTTGTTGTCGTGACGGGTAACCTGCTAGTGGACTGAATGGGACGTTTTTACAAACTAAGGGGATTTGATTGATTTTTTAAAAAATACAAGGGCTTAATTGACATTTTCGTGATAGTTGGGACCAAATTGATAGTTTTCAATTTGTTAATTATCCATCAAAACCCTCCAAATTAAGGGAATTTAAAAATTAAGCATTTAGAGAGTTTTGGAGGATTACAAAACCCTCCAAAACTATCTCCTCCAATTTTTTAAACTCACAAACATGAAAAGAAGGATCATGAACTCTCATCGGCCTTTTACTTCCCTCCAAAATTCAACTTCCAAACATACCCTTGGTCGCCTAGCAAGCCACTTAATGAGCATAAGGTATCTACTATGTTTAAGTATATTTATTGAGGTTATCCAAACTCAACTATACTCAACCCAAACACAATTTTTACTTTGTTCGAACTCGGTTCAGTTCGTTAGCACCCAAAGGGTCATCAGTCTTAAGGTTGGGCTTAGTTTGATTCCAATCTAGATTTTTTTCCCCTTTTTATTTCTCTCAGCTCTTGATCCTTAAAGGCTAATTTTATTCCGATTTTGATTTAAGACTTGGATTTTGACCAACCTTAAATCAACTAATAGATAGATTTAGAACTAATCAATAAGTACTAGTCTATTATGCAACATTTCCTCTATAATCTTGGTTTCGATCAATTGCTTTTTTAAATTACGGAGTACTATTGAATATGAATTTTATTTAAAAGGTACGTTGCCTTATCAGAAAGAGTGTAACTGAGATTCTATATGTACATTATTTATATCTTGTATTTGACTAGTGTAGGATGCCCTTAATTAAATGCTCCAGGGTGGCTCATCACAGCACTGATCTTCAAATCCTTGTGGATGTTTCCAATTTTCGAATTGCTCGTTAGAGTTTAATTGGCTCAAGTATCATATTAATTTTGATTATCTGATCTTAGAGTTAATTTGATTGGATGAGTAATTTAAGATTGATGCATTTCTCTTTATATTAATTATATCTCTATACTTGGTGGTGAGATTAAATAATATATATTTAATGTAAAACCCCTTTAAACTTATAAAACATATATCAACTCACAGAAAGGAAAAAAATGTTCAACTAATGATGTGAACCAAATACAAATTCCAGCGGACATAGATGTATTACTACACTATTTAGTGTGCTCATTATGTAACACATTGGCTGATGAATGAGTATGATTTTCTAAATACGTGCTCCACAATGAGTACGTTAGCGTGCTTCATATATTTATTCATATATGCTACACATTCACTTTTTGTTTTGTTCTAAAAATAGTAAAAATAATCATAATTTGCATTACATTAGCTTTTTACGTATCTAGTTGCTTTTTGCGCCATCACCTTTTATTTTTAATGCATCCATATAACTTTTTTATCTGGTCACAAAGATAAAAGAATAATTATCTCCTTTATATCAAATCTGAATGTATCATAAATTCTAGGACCGGGAATCATATTAATCAAAACATAATCGAAAGTTTTACTTTTCTTGCTACTTTTCAAATTCACCATCTTGCCAATTAGTTGGCTGGCTATTCCTAATTTGTCTATATTCTAAGGTCAATCATTTTTAGTTACATTTTCCCAAAAAACTTGTTTCCTTAATGTTCAACTAAATTTTATTTTTGTCATGAGCTAAGAAGTCAAAATTTGAAAATATTGATAACCATGCCACAAGCATCGCAATGACAAATTAAATATCAGTGTATTTTAAACGAACTGAGGTGTTTCTTTATCTTAACTTTGTACGACTATACGAGTACTTATTATTCAAAATAATAATTACCTTCACATATACTTTAAAAATGTTAATGCTTTTGGAATTGATTAAAGTTCTTTTTAAAAAGTATAAGTAGAATTAGTTATATAAAAGTATAAGTAATATAGAACACTTTGAAGTAAATTTGCATATCTACTCAAACTCTCTAATATTTGTTTGTCCTCCCCTTCATGGAGGAGAAGTAGTTTTAAGAAGTAACAAATAAATGTACATCCTGCCTTCCAATAAATAACATAATCTAATACATCATCAATTCCTTGTTTTCTTTTTGCTCAAATAGTCTATTTGGAAGTTAAGTTCCACTTGGCTAGAAATCATCATTTTCATTTCATTTTCATTTACCCTAGTGCCATAAAGGGGGGGTCGGATGTATGCAGTCTTACCCTTGTACTAAAGCACAAAGAGACTATTTCCGAATGACCTATAATGAAAATTGCGTCCAAAATTGTACGAACTGACTGCTGCTTCATAACAAAGAAGCGCAGATAGTTTAATGAACCATTTTGCTTTATTCTATCATATTCTCAAATCAAAAAATAATGAATCTTTGACTCCATTGCAAATGATGGAAATCCACTTGGCTAGAAATAATATAACAAAATAGACACTAGCATATGACATGTTAACCAATGGTGAAAAGAACAGATATACTTTCATACATCGACAAATTAAATACTCCACATACCGCCTTTGCCCTAAGTACTATTATTAGTCCAAAATTAGTTCTCCATCATCATCATCATCCAATAAACAAAAAAGGGACAACAAAAAAAGCATGAATTTTATCTCTGTATGTACAATGCTTTCAAATCCCTGGCTCCTCCCAATTACCTTCCCCAAAGAAAAACATGAAAATATACCCCCCAAATCAAAGAACCATTTCCTACTGACCAGCTGCATCCAAAATTCCGCTTATGTAGATATTAAAAGAAAGCAAAAATAGCGAAAGAGGAGTTTTTAAGAAAAGAAAACAAATGAGAATCATGTGTTGCAAGACTATGTGCCCAACAGGTGCATCAACGTGGTCGAGGAGGCGAAGGAAAGGACCGTGCTTGCCGTAGTGGCGGTCGGGAACTACCCGAAGCTGTATTCTGGGACCGGTTAATCATTTGCACCATATAAGGCGTCTTGTAAGCAAGCACAAGACTTGTGCTCTCTGTGGAGTCCCCCCTGGCCGTTGCCCTCTGCCACGAGTGTGAACTCAATCCCGACAACACATAAGCCCGGCCTGAGGCTTCGTAAGTTGAGCGATTGGCCATCCTCTCTTGCATTACCCTCAATTCAGCATCCAAACCGACACACAGTCCTTCTCCTGCTCTGGCAGACACAGTTTCCGAAAGCTGTTTCCGGGCATGCTCTACTATAGCCACTGCGGCTGTCAACTCGCCACGATCCGCCGCAGCTTTGGCTTCCTCCATAGCTTCCGCTGCTCGAAGCCTATTCCGCTGCTTATCGACCTCCATGGAAACTTCTTCCCGATCAACCGAGATAGGACGCCTGATGGTGACATCAGCAACATCATCCATCTTCACCAAGTTTTTTAAAATTGGGTCCTTGTACACGCACTTAACACTCATGAGGTTCATATGGTCGTTTGTAGATACATGAACAGTGGGTATATCCATCATAACAACAAAATCTCTTTCCTCTTCGGCATACAAATCTCCAACTTCTATAACGCCACCTCTTTTGCCCAGTTTCAAAGAGTTGTTGTAGCTTCCAGATTTTATTGATCCGAGTTGCAATGTGGGGTCCACACATTCTACTTCGATCCGTAGATCCTGAACCACAACGCTAAGAAGCCCGCCAATGCATTGAGCGAAAGCATCTTGGATCACTCCTTCCGCCTCTATGAAAGAAAACGTCCCTCCGGAAGATTCTGAGATAGAGTGCATGGCCACGGCATCATGGTCAGACCCGAACCCGAACGTGTGGACCGGAATATGAAGACCTGATCCACGACGCATCGAGACAGGGAGTAATGACCTGTAACCCGTTTCCGTATTTGTTCCGTACGGATTGTTGAGAGTGTACGTGTCCTGCCCGTCAGAGAGCAGTATTATACTGTTGACTGGGTTCTTTGACCTTCGGTTAGTCATGACCTGTGCAGCCTTTACCAAGGCATCTGCAATGTTGGTTCCGCCATTGCAACTTAGCGAGTTGACCGCTTGTAACGCTTCTTGCCTGCCCGAATCAGTCATCTTAAGAAGAGGAAAGAGGCGCCGGGCGGATGAGGAGAAAGCAATTACTGAGAGCCTATCGGACGGGCCGAGATGTTGGATGACAAAACCCATTGCCCGTTTTAGTAAAGCCAGCTTCGTACCTGCCATGCTGCCGCTAACGTCTAGAACAGTAACAAGATCAACCGGGGCCCGGGAATTTTGAGTCCCCATATACTCGCCCCTGGAATTCAGGTACCCGTCTGACCGTGGGGCTTTGAGATGAATCAGAACGGCAAAATCTTTGTAAGCTGACGATTTTGAAATGGCAGATATCTCTGGATATGTCTGGACTTCTACCACACCCACAGAATGAGAAGCATTAGCCCTATCAGCACAAAATAACGGTTCAGGGTCAACAAGTTCATCATCATCAAAGACAGCTGCTGGTTCTGCCGAGTTATGTGCATTTGACGAACCAAGTTGCGAAGAAGAGCGTCTCAGAGATGTGAGCAAAGCATTATACTGAGGCCAGTATGGACGAGGAGGATTGGTCCTGGCTCTTTCCAGGGGGGAATTATGGGGTGGAGAGGTCTGGAAGGGGATCTCCTTCCATTTTGCTCTGCAAACTGGACAGATCTGGTTTCCATGCTTCACATTGGAGGTTATGCAGTGGAAATGGAAGGAGTGTGAGCATTCTGCAGTGAATATGGCGTGGCCTTGTCCCGGTTTCATACTTGTCAAGCATATCGTGCACATCTTCTGATGATAAAAGTAATTTATAGCGTTAACAATGGAAAAAAAAATACAGAAGTTTATGAAATTCCTGAAACTGCAACAAACAAGATCATCAAATACAAAGAGACAAAAAATGATTTACAGGGTTAACAGTAACTTTACAAGAGTTACAGAAGAAAGTGTATGAAATTCCTGAAACTGCAAGCAAAAAAGATCGTCAAATATAAAGAGCCAACTAAATGATGGCAATGCTGCACCCCAGATTCTTCCACTAATCCACATCAACAAACATTAAGTTGTCCATTTGGAACCTGGAAAATCCCGAAAATATTATGGAAAGAAAATATGAATGGAAACCTCAAGAAAGGTACTCCGTACAAAAAAAAGTGAGAGAAATATTAGATATGCTAAAATTCAAAATCTTTTTTTAGTCAGTCTCCATACTCATTTATTAATTAATGTATATAATATATAGATCAAACATCTAGATATATGCTAAACATTCATCATGTTTCATATTCCTTTGCATTTTTCCAAGGTAAAAGCAAACACAAAAAGTGTATCTTTCATTAGCATTTACCATTTCCTATACCTGCTAGGATTTCCTTGGACACCATAGTTTTTTTTACCATTTCCTATAATTTCTCAGACCCAAATATACCATAAAGTAGATATTCCGGGGGTGGGGGGGGGACTGTTAAATTTTTAAGAAACTCTGAGCTAAGCCTGCTAGGATTTCCGTGGACGCCATAGTTTTTTTACTTGAGCCCTTTAGGCCCTCTTTAACTCTGTTTAGATCACGCTAATCCCGAATAGTTAATCTCTAACTTAATGTCAGGCCTAGTCTTCCACCTAAATGTTAAGCACTTAAGCGCATTTCACAGCAAAAGTTATGAGCCTCTCAAGAGAGCTCAGACATAGGAAGAAAAGAAGCACGTGTATCCCAAAGTGGAAATCATTGTATTGGAATGATGATAAGAATTTCATCACTTTTATTTTTCAATCTCCCCATATTAGCTTTGGTGAATGGAATTCAACCAAGGAAACCTCTCAATCAACCATCCACATGCTTTTTTCTTGGACTATTATCATGAAAAGGAGAGTTAGATCATAAATGGCCAAATGGGCATTGTCGTGTTTGCTGACCATGCAAAGCACTTTCCCCTCCAAGTAACTCAAGGAGGGAAAAAGAGGGAGAGAGAAAGATAATAATGTTATTTCCTTTTTACAATAAGACCAATGGACCACTAAGGTCTTTTAAAAGGGTCTCCCTACTTTAATCACCACACCACTGAGAGCTATATATCACAGACAATAGTATATCTGTCCCATTAACCCACTAAAAACTATGGGCCACCCTACCAGTAACAGTGACTTAAATCAGTATAGAAAAACAGAGTGGGTGGAAGATAAAAAAAATTATTCATATAGATTTTTACATTAAAATTTTGACACATGAAAACAAAAGATTTTATTCAAAGAATAGTGGGCCCGAGCCCTAAACACCCCCGTTGACTACCGGTATTGCCACTCAATGTGCGCTAAAGACCGGCCATTGAGGCCGGTCTATCAGCCCGCATGTCGCACAACACAATAGTGCAAGGTCCAGTATTTATAAAGAATATATATAAGTACATTTATGGTTATCACCTCCATATACTAAACCTACCACCACCCACCCACCCCACCACATCAGCCTCACAAGTGGGTTGGGGGGAAACTCTACCCCACTTGACAGACATGTATGGAGAGATCCATAGAGGTAAAAAGGACTAATATGTAGTAGCAGGAAATTAAAAAAAAAATGGCAGAGGTGATCGTAGTACAATTGACCGCAATTAGCTTTTTCTAAAGAGAATTGACAATTTAAAGGGTACAGTATATGCATACACATACACATATATCGTTGTAAAGCAAAACATGGGTTGGTTAAATTAATTCATCTCACTCTACAGAATCTACCAATGCAGATTCATCTTGAAAACAATTATCCTTGGATAGCACTAACTTTAAGGAAAAACACAATTTTATATAGGAAAACCTGTTTATTGTTGCTAATACATCAGTATACTGGGACAGAAATTATAATCATTATGGCATTAAAATCAAATCCAATGCATGTTAAAGAAAAGAGGAATTACTAATTAGTCATTGAAAAAAGAAACGTTTTTTACTGACCTTAGAAGATCTAGAGCTGTGTTTGGACAACCTGAGGCCGGAGGAGGAGGGGGTGGGGGTGGTCGGCATGATGAGCCGCGAATCAAAGCTCTGGGTCGGGTCGGGTGAGAGGGAAACAGCATCAGAAGCTCTCCCGGCAGCCGGCGGCACCGTTCCCGGCGGCGCTTCTTCCTCTTCATCTTTCGTTTTGGGGACGTAGAGACACATATTGAATCCCAGAGCCATCTTCGCCTTCCTCCATTTGCTCCCCATTCTTTCTTCCGCAAACAGAAAAGCCCAGCGCTGCTAAATTTCAGATCTTGAACAGCATTTCTCTCAAGAACAGAGGCAAAGACGGATCTTTTCTTCCTCTTCTTCTTCCGGATACACAAAGAAACACGGCTTGTTTTTAGAGGCTCCGTTGGGAAATTTCCCTATTTTCTCGAAACCGCGGTTTGATATGAGTTGTGAAGATGTAAAAGCAACGGGTTACCCAACCCAATTTATTACGCAGGAGATTGATTTATATAATAAACTCGTACGAAGAAGTGCTGGTTGCTGGAGTGGTCCGTGGAGAGGAGGGAGATGTTGGTAATAAGGTAGAAATTAGAGGTGCGTTTGGAAAGAAACGGCAATTCTTGGGATTGACGGCTGTATGATGAGATTTTTCTTTTTCACTGTTTGACCTTTCCTTGTTATGGGGGGCGGTTAGGACTTTGGGGCTGTCGGACTTCGTGATTGGATAAATTAACACCTCATTATTATGGTGTAAAAACTTCAATCCTCCCTAATCCCTATCATGTAGATTCAATATACTCCATCTCATGGGTTGTTTGCCTGTTTGGTAAGGGAAAACAAGTATTTCTAATATATAGTAAATGTAATTTAGTATGAGAATGAGTCAAAAAAAAAACTTTTGAGCAACGTTTTTATATGGGCTTTTTAAATAATGATGTCATGTCCCTCAAAATTTTGTCAAGTTTGACCAGTACGTGAAATAATAAAGTAAATATTATGTGATTGAAGTTTATGCAGAGGAGAAGAAATCATAGTAACAACAAATTCATTGATAAAAAGAAAAAGTCAAAAAAATGGGATAACTAAAAAAGAGATGACAAAATTATAATTATAAGGGGCGTGAAGGGTATTAGATATCTAGTGTTCTTCTTTTGTTGTTTTTTTTTCTTTCTTCTACCTTTTGTTATTCCCATTATTAATAATAAAACTCATTTTTTAAAAAACGTATATCTATTGTTAATAGTATGTTATGGATTTAACTATCTCTAGATAAAGCTGGTATGTGTCACAAATTACCTTCTCCTTGACATAGAGTTTGGACGATTGTAGCAAATTTACCACATCTCGTCAACAAAGATTTTATCCGATAACTATATAATGATGGAAGGTTTAGAGATGGCTAGAGCACGACTAGATTTTGAAGAAGATGATGATGCTGTGTCGAATGGAGTTGATCCAGATTCGGCGGAAGAAGAGATGACTTCGAATTGGAAAAAAAATCCAAAAAATGACAAGGAGGCTACCCGGTTTGGTAAGTCTCGAATCAAACTAGTGGTGCAAGATCTCGATTGTTGTGAAACAAGGGACATACTATGAATTGAAAGGTCAAACAAAGTTCGAGGGTCGGTCATATGATGAGGATGACACATTATTCCAAGCTATTTTATAAGATTGTCCCCAAACATAAGGGGTGGGGTGCTATGGTGTTGCGTCACAAATCCAAACGTTACCCGAGGGTGTTGATTGTTTTAGCGGAGCCTTTAGCTCAGGTTAAAAAAATATAGATGATCGAATATATGGGTGAATTGAGGCCCGTTTTGCCCAACAAACGGCTGCCCGAGAAGAGAGTCAATGGCAACATGAACAACAATGTCAATCTCATTACCCCAAATGGCTACCGTGTTCAAGACATTTATGCCCTATTAGGTCGGTGGAGGATGTTGGGATAAGAGCCTGCTATTCCGGATAAAAAATATATCACTAGTAACTACTCCACGCGAGACGAGTCATTTGTTGCTCGGGTGAATCCCTCCATGCCACATATTTGCTAGTGTCCAAAGGCCATAAGACTTCTTCTCGATCAACAGTCCCGAACGGGTGTTAGTCTAAAAATACCGATTAGTATGTCCTAATACCCCACAGATGAAGCAAAGATTAAGAAGTCTCTCATACTTAAAGTCCTTCTAGGATAAGTTGTCACCCTCTTCTCTAATCCGTGTTCTTTCTTTCAACGCACTCTTGATGTTTATGGAAACGCGAATGTGAACATAATCGTTGTTAGCATCCTTTAGCGTCCTCTCATCAATCTGACTCAGTTGTCCTAGGTAACGACTAACGACCAATGTTTGTTGCCACTTTTTTCAGCCATGAAGCTTAAAGGTAGTTTATAGTTCTGAACCCAAAATTCAACATGATCCAACTGCACCTCTAAAGGTTTATTAGTCACTTGACCCGCTTCAACCCTCTTAGTAACTGCTAATTCTGATCGAAAGACCACATACCACTTTGCACCATCCAAGAGATGTCACTCTCATGATAAATTTGAATCAAAAGGCGCATATCCCCAATATGTTCAACGCTTACTCATCTTCCTGGACGCTGTATCATTGATATCGTCTCACAAAAAGAGATAGGCTGGATAGATTTATCCGTGACAACTCTAGGTACAACAGAAAAACGTGAATTTTCCCATTTCCCACCGCCAATATCCAGAGCGCCAAATTCCAACATCAATTCACTATTTCCCTCCTTAGTCCGCATCCTCCCATAAGCATTAATTAGATATATTCTCTATTAGATAACGATGAAAAATAACAACTCTCACAAAAGTCTGACAGCATGTAAAGAGAAAAGCATTATCTAGCAACACAGAACATTTACAATAAAATGAGGAAACATTGGCCAGAGCAACGAAACTAAGCCAGACTAAATCAAACAGAGAAAAAGCCTAACAATGACAACTTTGGAATCAACACACCTTCGTATGGAACCCATGAAGAAGCAGTAAACCAACTTACAATCTTGTCCTCTGCGTCGTTGTTGAGTTAGACGAGAATAGGTAGATCAAACAGGATAAGAAGGAGTGTAAAGTCAATTCTGTAATCCAACCTATGATCTTGTCCTCTCCGTCATTGTTGAGTCGGACAAGAAGAGGCAGACCGAATGCTGCACACCCTAGGGTTCATCCATGACTTTATATATTTAACTAGCGGATTATGTTAGCGGTTTTTGTTAACAACTTTTACTTTTTCATTCACTTTATTAATAGCTACGTCAAACAAAAACAAGACACATAAAGGATGTGTTTGGCATATAGTGAATAGAGATTATGTTAGCGACTTGTCAATAACAATATTATTCAGTGGGTTTGACTAGAAAAATTAGTTGTCAGGTTGCAATAATATGATTGATGATTTAGTTGTTTGGTCATATCAATTAGTCAAAAATGTCATATTTTGAAACATTAACCCAAAATACTTGCTATTTGCAACATTTCCAATTCAAGCCGTTGTCGATGGACGTATCTTAACTGATAGATGGGGGGTGTCACAAGGGGTGTCTCGGGTTCGAATAGTGGCAACTGCGATGAGAGGCTACTATGTAACAATGCATAGGGCTTCTGCAAGTACTTGGGTTAGAGCCTCACTCGTTATCTGTCAGCTTGTGATTAAAGTCCAATTTACTAGGGGTGGGTCGGTGAAACCAAAACCGAAAACCAATATAAAAAACGAACCGCGGGGAAGCCAAAATTGAACTCGAAAAATAGAACCGTTGTTTGGTTTCGCTTTTGGTTTTCACATCTCAAAACCGAACAAACCGAACTTTTTAAAACATGCTATTTTATTTATTAAGCATAAGTATAATACTACCTCCGTCCCGCTAAGATTGTCCCATTTTACCTTTTCGGTCCATCCCACTAAGATTGTCCCATACCAAATTAGGCAAAATTTGTGTGGCTCCAAATTATTCTTACTTTATCAATTCAATATCAACCACATAACTCACTTTTTATTAGTTTGTGTGTCACTCCCTCTTGTCCCATTGTTAGTGGGACGGAGGGAGTATTTTGTTTTGTTCTTAATTCATAATTCTAGAAAATTAATGTTTGATACTAGATTTATTATGATATGCAAGATATTGACATTTGATACTTATGGTTTAATTAAGCGAAATACTTGTACATACAATTAAGTCTATTGTTATAATACTAATAGGCCTTTTTTTACCAATATTACCTCTAGTCCACCGATTACCAATAATGTGAGTATGTTTGAAAAACTCCAAAAATATGAGTAGAAGCAGTTACTGGCCACCGAAACATAAGGAAAGAATTTAATTGTCGTTGGTCAGTTATATAATATACGAAGTACATAACAATAGGAAAGAATTTGATTAATTAAATAATACCAGGGATCCGTAACTGACATCCATAAAGTTAGGAAAGAATATGCGTGAATACGTGAGTCAAGACTAACGCGCACATAAACATCTCTTCCTTCCCGATTCAAGCGAAACCCCAACTCATGGACGCATATTATTATAGACATAGCGGCTATACGTTTTTTGTAGCGACAACGAGTATTAGTGATGACGTTGTGACATGGCATTAGTGACGGCGTAGTAACTTTTGAGTATGTACGAGGGACGCATATTATTATACAGACATAGCGACTATTTCTTTTTTGTGGTGACAACGAGTATTAGTGATGACGTTGTGACATGGCTTTAGTGACAAGGTATTAATTTGTGATTAGTTATCACGTAGTACAGTATGTTTAGTGACGTGGTACACATATTATTATAGGGACATAGCGGCCAAACCTTTTTGTAGTGACATCGTCCATTATTGAGCACGTAGTAACTTGTAATTAGTGACAATGTATTAACTTTCTGATTAGTGATCACGTAGTACATTCTGATTAGTGACGAGCTACACATATTTGCGGGAAGATATAGTTACTACAAGTTTCGTAGTGGCAGCGTAGTTGTCACTTACAAACAGTGTAGATTTTTTTTTAAAGATCATTATATATAGCTTTTGTATGATCCATTACAAGTAGTGATCGTGCGGTAACTTGTTTTATATCCTTACGCTTAACTCTAGTTGTACAATCAGGAAAGTACTTTTGCCAAATCCGACCCCGCTCAGTGACTAGATTCTGATAAGAAGGAATATCATCGGACACGTTCAACCCCAGAATAAGACCTAAGTCAGAACAGGTAAATGATATCAACTTGTCCTCAATATCAAAATACAAATCGCCGCCTACGACACTATTACCACCTCCAATTTTAGCAAGGTTTCCAATAAGAAAATGCAAGAGCTGCCCGGAACATTTCATGTCTTTCGCATCTAAGAACTTCCCAAAAACTGTATTACTAAAAAGTTCTAATTGGTTAGGGAGTAGTTTTGACCGCACAAGATTTATGACCTCATACAATCTAGAAAAGGTGTTCACCCTCCTTGTAATGTCCTTATTGACGATCTGTTTCTTGACAACCCTATTAAGTTGCTGGGAAAATTAGACAACATAAAACAGGTGTTAGCTTGGTGAAAGAAAAAAAAAAGATTAA